AGACAGGTGAGAGGAGGGTAGGTGAGAATACAGGTGAAGTGAGGAGAGAAGACAGGAGAGGAGAGGAGAAGAGAGGAGAGGTGAGGTGAGGAGACAGGAGAGGAGAGGAGAGAAGATGAGAAGAGAGGAGAGGTGAGGTGAGGTGAGGTGAGAATACAGGTGAGGAGAGGTGAGGAGACAAGTGAGGAGAGATGAGGTGAGAATACAGGTGAGGAGAGGTGAGGAGACAAGTGAGGAGAGGTGAGGTGAGAATACAGGTGAGGTGAGGTGAGGAGAGAAGACAGGAGAGGAGAGGAGAGGAGAGGAGAAGAGAGGTGAGGTGAGGAGACAGGAGAGGAGAGGAGAGGAGAGGAGAAGAGAGGTGAGGTGAGGAGACAGAAGAGGAGAGGAGAGGAGACAGGAGAGGTGAGGAGAGGAGGACAGAGGACAGAGGGGGGAGGATAGAGAGAGGAGGACAGAGGACAGAGGGGGGATGATAGAGAGAGGACAGAGGATAAACAGGAAGACAGACAGGAGGAGGACAGAGAGAGGAGGACAGAGGGGGGAGGGAGGAGGACAGAGGACAGGGGGAGGAGGACAGAGGAACAGAGGACAGAGGGACAGGAGGACAGAGGGGGGAGGACAGAGGACAGGAGGACAGAGGAACAGAGGACAGAGGGACAGGAGGACAGGAGGGCAGAAGACAGGAGGACAGAGAGACAGGACAGAGGGGGGAGGGAGGAGAACAGAGGAACAGAGGACAGAGAGACAGGACAGAGGAACAGAGGGACAGATGGACAGAGGACAGAGGGAGGAGGACAGAGGACAGACAGGAATGACCGGATGAATGTACCGGTGTGTTGTCGGTGTTGAGTCCACGAGCTGTCTGCATCACCGCTGTCACATGTGGAGCTGATGGAGGAAGGTAACCCGGGTCCCGGCCGGTCCGTTCACACCTGCAGTCAGACCCGGGTCGGACACGGAGCCGGTTCACACCCTGAGGATCCGGACTGAGAGGAGGCTGAGGAGAAAATGGCTGAAAGCTCCGGAGCTGATGCCTCACACAGAAACAGTGATGATGGAGGAGCTCACAGATCCTCTCTGGGCACAGATGACTCACTCAGCACTTCCGGTTTCACTGTGGTGGGCGTGGAGTGTGCGCATGCGCTCCACATCTGCCACAGAGAGGAGTAAATTATGGAGAGATCTCACTCTGACACATTTCACCAAACTGATGAGCTGCACCACAACAATTGCAGTAATATTAATGATAATAATATTATCAATAGTAGAATTAATAATAATAATAATAATAATAATAATAATAATGATGATAAACTGTATTCTGGGCGTGTTCTGGATGAATTATCTCAGAGCTGTTTCCAGAGAAGATCTTATCTGCTGTGACGGTCCAAAGGACAGAGGGATGTCGTATGCTGTAAGGCCTCCAAATTGTTATTTGTGGTATTGGGCTTTAAAAATAAAATTGATTGATTGAGGACTGTAAAGGAAACATTTGTGGATTGTAATCTTTATGATTTAACAGATTTTCTGCACTTTACAGAACTTTTAGGTGTAAAAACCTCTTAAAAACCTCTTAAAACACATGACAGTCATCCAATGAAACATGACTTAATTTTTAATTTTTTTAATTTAATTTTATATACTTTATTAATCCCCGAGGGGAAATTCAATTTTTCACTCTGTTTGTCAATTACACACAGGTCCGAACACACACATGCACAACCTGACCTATACATGCACTAAGTGGAGAGATGTCAGAGTGGGCTGCCCATGACAGTTTCCTACATGCTGATTTTATGATCTTTAACATTAGAAATGAAATTAATGAGTTTCATGAAGCAGCAGCTCGTTAACGTCTGTTTGATAACTGACTGAAGATGTGATGTGTTCAGTTCTCTCTGAGTCTACTGATACTGATTTTAGTTTCACTGTGATCCTGGTTCCTGAGATCAGACTGAGATCAAAGTGAGATCAGATCTGAAATCAGACTGATATCAAAGTAAGATCAGACCTGAAATCAGACCTGAAATCAGACTGATATCAAAGTAAGATCAGACCTGAAATCAGACCTGAAATCAGACTGAGATCAAAGTAAGATCAGACCTGAAATCAGACTGAGATCAAAGTGAAATCAGACCTGAGATCAGTGTGGTGTATTTCAACCTGGTGCTGATGATCTGAGTCATGATCAGAACTTTGTCTCCCTCTGCTGGAGACAGTGTCCACATGGAGACAAACTGATTCTGTCTGTTACCTGCCGCCTCGTCTCCTCCCTCCTCTCTCCTCCTTGTCTCCTCCTCTCTCAGCTCAAGGTGGGAGGAGCTAAGGAGGGAGGAGGCAATGAAAAGAATGGAGGATGCACAGAGTGAAATGTGAGGAGGGGTGTGTCTGATCCTGTTTGTTTTGCTTCAGGCCTGAGTCCAGCTGTGACACACTTCCTGTTCCCCGCAGCGTGTGTGAGCTTGTCTCAGATCAGATCTGGAGCTTTGAGATCAGATCAGACCAACACTGAGACACTGTGACACAAAGTGAACACACACACACCTGAAACACCTGAAACACCTGAAACATGAAATACAGAGCTGAGTCTGCAGACTGGTGATCAGCTGTCAGGTTACACACAGCTGCAGACAGACAGGAAGTACAGACTACAAAATAAAGGTGCAGGTGATAAAACAGTTAAAGTCTTTATTGATGTTGAACAAAGACGTTGATCTGAAAGTTTTATCGATCAAACCACTCAGACATATTATAATAAATGTTTCAGGATGTTTTTTTAAACTCATAATATTGTGAATCTATGAATGGATTATTGATCGGGTCGAATCCAAACCCTGCAGTTCCTCTGATGTCCACTAGAGTGCGTCCCCGCAGACCTCCATGTTCACATGTACAAATCAACATGTTTACAGCCTGTCTGGTCTCTGGAGATCGTCTCAGCAGACTTGGGTATAATCTGAACCATACAGGAGTTTAAAGTAGGCCAAGATGGTGACGGACAAAACGCCAAACCTGAGGTTTAAAATCGAGTCCACAAACCAACAGGTGACGTCACAGTCGCTACGTCAGGTGCGGCAGCTGCAGCTACACAACTCACACAGAGAAACTATGATTTAATTTTTTATATTTTATATTTGAAACATTTCCAGTGGAATATTTTAGACATTAAAACATTCTTTTGAACAGGAAACCAGCAGCCAGACACTGCCTTTGAAACATGGTGGTGCAGCGTGGATGAGGACCTGCTCCCTCTGTAGATATAACCAGGACACAACCATTCTGATTTTCAGATGGTTAAAGAAAACACACTGATCTGATTACACACACTTTAAACCTGACACGCTGCAGCTTTAAGTTTTTATGTCTGGTTTGGCTTCACGTAAAGAAAAATAAACCTGAATATTCAATAAAGCTGACTGAGCAGTGACGTAACAGCAGGAGGTCTGACAGCCACAGACGTCACCTCCTCGTTCTCTCGCAGAGGGTTTTATTTTGAAAAGCGGGACCGGAGGTGCTGCAGGTGACAGTGTCGGGCCGTAGACGTGTCCAGGTGTGTTCCTGCCAGCGGACATGGGGCTGGTTTACTCTGAGGTAAGAACACAGAGTCTCTGTTTTCTGTCTGTTTCATCTTTAATCACGCTGTTTTTTATGTCTTTAAATCTGATCATTGGATCGATCTCACTTCCGGTTTGTGTTGAAGTTGAGCCGACAGGTGAGGTTACCTTTGTGATGACATCAGACATGAAACGGAGCTGAGCTCACCTTCAGCTGACAAACACAGTAACACTCTGTTCAGCCAGAGTCAGTGACAGAGACACAGAGTGTGTGTGTGTGTGTCTGTGTGTGTGTGTGTGTGTGTGTGTGTCTGTCTGTCTGTGTGTATGTGTGTGTGTGTGTGTGTGTCTGCAGCTGTGTTACAAACATCAGGCCTTAAAACTCATTAACAGTATTGATTTGATTTTATGAGGAGTTTCTTGCCACAAACATTTGATCTGAGTTCATTTTTTTCAGCTGTGAATTTGTTTCTGTTAAAACAAGTCGAGTTCTTCGAACCTTTGAACCGGCACTGCGCCTCAAACTGTAATCTGTAATCTGTAATCTTAAATATTTAGTCTTTAGTAGTGATGGGATGTCTCGTTCAGTTGTAAGAGCCGGTTCAAAGACTCGGCTCGTTCGTTTGTTTTTTGCTGTGTTTGTGTGTGTGCTGTGCATCACATGATCTGGATATTGTATCGTGGACCCAGAATAGACTCCGCAGACATAAAGTTTTGTGTAGCCATAGCAACGCCCTTTATAAACAACAAGCCTGTCAATATATATACATATATAGTGGAACAAATAATCTGAAATTAATGGATAATTATAGCTGCTGCGCAGCGATGGGTCGGGTCCGGGCATTTTTAGGCAATTCTGAGCAACAAGCAGAAGAACTGGAAGACATTTAGGAATTTAACAACACAATCTGCCTTTTGCATCAGCTGAGGCTTGAACTCACAACCTCTGAGACTAAGAATCACTTTCTATCTCACTGAGCTAATTAGTCAGTGACAGTTCATGTCTAAGTCTCATGACTAAGCCAGACGTGCAGGTTTAGCAGCCGTCCATGCATGGAAAAGCAGATTTCAAACCACTGTAAAAAATTCAGTTATCGAAACAAAAATCTGAAAATACACATATTGCATCTAGACAGCATGGAGATGTTGGTAATTTGTTTGTAACAATGATTGATTTGCTCCATAAGTGAAAAACTGATGTTTAACTAGTTGAGCTATGTGCAAAGTGAGAAGCCTCAGATGGTTTCATACTGAAGTATTGACACTGGATCTTTGTGCAAAGTTTGGTTTATTTACAAGCATGAGAAGGCAGATTTTCTAGCAGAAAAAAAGATGCTGCACAGTGATGAGTCATGCTCAGGCAATTTTAAGCAATAAGCTGGAGCACAAGAAGATGATTACATTACAATGTGGATTCTGCACCAGTTGAGGCTCAAACACGCAACCTCTAAAACCTAAAACAGTCATCTACCGCTCTGAGCTAATTGGCAAGAAGCAACTCAACAGTGGCTTCTAGGGATGGGCAACACAAGCAAAAACACTATTCGAAAATCGTGGCAAGTATTCGACGATTTTTCGAATAATTTTTCGCGAACATCACATCACTAGTCTTTAGTCTGTCTGCCCTGTTGTTAAAGGAGAAGTCCAGTATTTTGCACTTTGAGCCCCATTTCTGGGTTGTTTATGATGAAATAGAGTGGTTAAGACCAATATAGTGACGATTGCTCCTTTTTTGAGAATTTGTCTTTCCCCTGCCTGGCTTAACACTGCTGCCTATGGCCATGTGTGAATCTGTCCTAAAACCACCCTAGAGTTGGTTTTCAAAGCCATGAAACTCACCGAATGGTCAGTGGTGTTCGTTGATGTTCTGACATGAAAATTGTAGCAAACTGTGGTTTCCATCCGTGTTTTTGCTCGTCATCTTGATTGTGGAACTATTTTTTCAGCTGCCTCACACCCGTGTGTAAACTTCCGCTTGATCGTTCGTTTGACCCTGAAGCGTTACACACAGCCCACTTGATGACGATAATGCTCCTTTACGTGGGTGTAGCCAACCGGCAGGAAACCATTGCAATGTAATGGGACACAGAGAAGACGCAGAAGAAGAAGGTTGCCGTTGTGTTCAAAGGCATCGTACTGTGAAGGTTGTTTACAAGCGAGTAATCCATTAAGCAGTTGTTTAAACTTATTGCAAAACTTTTGCGTTCGTTCTCGTTCTTCCTCCAGGAGCGCACACAGCACCGTCGAGCCGGCACTTTCGCTGAGCTAAAAGACTACAATGACTACAACCTTGTCGTAAACAACCCCCTTTCTGTTTCCGGTTGTGGATTACTACCAACGGACAATGAGGCTTCTATAGAAAACCAATGGATTAGACAAAATGTCAAATAAATCATTGTGGAAACCACAGTTTGCTACGATTTTTATGTCAGAACATCAACGAACACCACTGACCACTCGGTGAGTTTCATGGCTTTGAAAACCAACATTCAGGGTGGTTTCAGGACAGGTTCACACATGGCCATAGGCAGCAGTGTTAAGCCAGGCAGCGGAAAGACAAACTCTCCGAAAATGAGCAATCGTCACTCTTTTGGTCTTAACCACTCTGTTTCATCATAAACAACCCAGAAATGGGGCTCAAAGTGCAAAACACCAGACTCCTCCTTTAACATATAGATGAACCTCACACGTCACAGAATCGTCCATCTGCACACACACATTTAAAGTTCAGACTCACCTGCAGAGCTTCAATAAGAAAAACATAATTTGTCCGAAAATCTGTTTGAATTTTGGTTGAAAATAAATTAAAGTGTGTGTGAGCTGCAGACACCTGAAGGACCCTCCCTCTTCCACACACCTGATATTAGATTTTTAATGTTTGAAAGTTTAAAGTGAAAAAAGTCTTTTCATTTGTGTCGTACAGAACAGTTTTCTTTTTTGGAAACATTTTAAACGAGATGTATAATAATAATAATAATAATAATAATGATGTGTCCGCGGACTGTCGGGAATTTAAAAATATAACAATAATTTATGTTTTCACAGTTTCTGGCTGATAAATGGTGAAAGTTTGGCGAAATGTTTTCTTTAAAATGAGCAGTAGAATAATACAAAACATAGAAGTTTGTAGTTTGGAGCAGACGTCGTCCAGAGCCTCAGTCTGAATCACTGTTAACACCACACAGAGACATGATGTCTCATCACGTGTCTGATGGTCCGTGAGACGTCGACCTGCAGCTTCAGTCCGTCAGCTGGAAACAATCAGAAACATCTGGAGACAAAAAAATCTCAAATATTCAAACAATCTGAACTTTTTTTATCTCCTGATTTACAACAGTGTCTGCAGAGTGTTTGATGGTTGTTCAGAACTTTGACTCCGACACATCAGTCAGTGTTTAACGTCCTCATCATTGACAAGTAAAAGTTTGCCCCCCTGTTCAAAACTTCATTTCCTGTGACTAGTTCGATAAGTAGAAGATGAACTGATCTCCAGAAGTGAAATGTTCCCGGTGTCCCTTTGTCTCATCCATCCACCTCCGTCTGTAGTCAGATGGGGTTTCTCAAAGTCTAGGATCCTTCCTTGGGAAGATAATAATAATAATAATAATAATAATAATAATAATAATACATTTTATTTATACAGCGCTTTTACAGCTCTCAAAGACGCTTTACATTTAAAACCAAAGAAAAGAAGTACATACATTTAAGTGCAAAGACATAAACAGAAGACAAGGACAATATAAAACAACAAGGTGCAAAAGCATAGTGCAAAACAAAGAAAAGGAGGGCACATGAGGAACAGAGAGCGAAAAGCTAATGTTAAAGGTTAAAGGCGGATTTGAAAAGGTGGGTTTTGAGGAGTGATTTGAAGGTGGATGGATTTGGACAGTCACGGATGGGTATAGGGAGGGTGTTCCAGAGGGAGGGGAAGAAGGCTCTGTCGCCCCAGGTTCGGTGCTTGGTCCTGTGTGGGGGTGAGGAGGTTTTTGTCGGATGATCGAAGGTTGCGGGAGGGAGTGTGGTGGTGGAGCATGTCCGTGAGGTAGGAGGGGGCCTGGCTGTGGAGGGCTTTGTGGGTGAGGAGGAGGATCTTGAAATTGATTCTGTACGGGACAGGGAGCCAGTGTAGGTTTTGCAGGACAGGGGTTATATGTTCACGGGAGCGGGTGAGGAGGCGGGCAGCAGAGTTTTGGATGTACTGAAGTTTGTTGAGGACTTTGCATGATGAGCCGTAGAGGATGCTGTTGCAGTAGTCCAGTCTTGAGGTGATAAAAGCATGGATGAGAGTTTCAGCGGCAGAGAAGGAGAGTAATGGACGGAGACGGGCAATATTTCTAAGGTGAAAGAAGGCAGTTTGGGCGAGGCGGCTGATGTGATGTTCAAATGAGAGGTTATTGTCGAAGATGATACCAAGGTTGCGGATGAATGGGGAGTGAGAGAGGGTGGTGTTGTCTATGCTGAGGGTTAAGTTTTGTGTTGTTGTAGAGATGGATTTTGGGCTGATGAGTATTATTTCAGATTTGTCACAGTTGAGTTTGAGGAAGTTGGCTTGCAGCCATGATTGGAGTTAAGTCAGACAGTTGGTGAGGGTAGAGCGGGTGGCCGGGGTGATTTTGTGGAGATGTAGATTTGGATGTCGTCAGCGTAACAGTGGAAATGGAGACAATGACGACGGATGATGGAACCAAGGGGGAGTAGGATGAGTCCTTCCTATCATTCAGTGAACACACACTGGAACAGACTGACTGTCTCCAGGTGTGTCATATCTCTGACTGAAAGACTGACGGTCTCCTCCTCCTTTTCCTCCTCCTCCTCTTCCTCCTCCTCCTCAGCCGGCCTGTCAGTCAGCGTATGACGGAGACCTCCATCAGCTGTATCACGTCCTCATAGAGGACGCTAACCAGCTGAATGTCCAGGAGAAGCACAGCGGGGACACGCCCCTCATCGCCGCCTGTCGTAAAGGACACGTGAGGACGGTACAGTACCTGCTGGAGAACGGGGCGGACGTTCACCTGACCAATCAGGTATGTTCAGCTGGTGATGTCATCACATACCTGTCCTAGGCGGTCTCTGATGAAAAGTGTCTGTGTGTCTCAGAAACAGAGGACGTGTCTTCATTATGTGTCCCGGAGGACGTTCTCTCTGCTGGATTACCTCATGATCGCCATCCTCATGCCCATCCTGCTGCTCGGGTACTTCATCATGGTACGGACGGACAGACAGACGTGTTTGTGTTTGTGGTCATTTTATGAGTGAAGTTTTCATTTTGAGTTTGTTTGCGAATGCCCAGTTAGAGACATGTTAGCTTAGCTTGGTTGCTAACATGACAGTAAGTGTTAGCAGTTGATTCTAAGCTGTAGTTTGAACAGAACAATAATGAAATAAATGCTAACGGTGTGTTTGTTTCGTAGCTCCAGAAGCAGAGGCAGAACGTGTCTCTGATGGCAGCCGTGCTGAGCAGCAACGTCAACATTGATGCCATCGACTACGTGAGTCACAACAACTGTTTACTGTGACTTTACATCCTGTCAACTTCCTGTCTGGGCTCTGTTTAAGGTCAAACTCTTCCTTATGCTAACATACTTAGCCTCATGCTAATGTAATTAGGTTCATGCTATTGCATGTAGCATGGAGCTAATGTACTGTACCACATATATGGCCACATGCTAACATACTTAGCCTCGTGCTAATGTACTTAGCCTGGAGCTAACGTAATTAGCCTCATACTTATATACCTAGCCTTATGCTAATGTACTTAACCTCATGCTAACCTACGAAGCCTCATATTTACATATGAGCTTCATGATTAGGTACTTAGCCTCATGTTTAGCCTCATGCTAACATCCTCAGCCTCATGCTAACATTCTAAGAATCATGCTAACTTATGAAGCCTCATGCTAACGTACAAGCCTCACACTTACATAGTTAGCTTCATGCAAAGGTAGTGAGCTTCATGTTTAGCCTCATGCTAATGTACTTAGCCCCATGCAAACGTACTTAGCTTGATGCTAACATACTTAGCCTCATGCTAACGTAATTATCTTCATGCTATTGCACTTAGCCTGGAGCTAATGTACTGTACCTTATATATGGCCTCATGCAAAAATAATAATCCTCATGCTAATGCCCTTAGCCTGGAGCTAATGCAGTTAGCCTCATACTAACATACTTGGCTTTATATTAACATACTTATTCTCATGCTATCATACTCAGCCTTGAGCTAATGCACTCTAATGTACTCACCCTCATGCTAACTCACTTGGCCTCATGCTAATATTCTTAGCCTCATGCTAATGTGGGAGCTTGCAGCTCACAGACTAGTTCTGACGTAGAGATTAATTTGTAAATATATAACTTCCACAAACTGCAGATGGAACTTTTGTGTAGCTAACTGGCAGCGCTAATGTTAGCATGCTAATATCTGAAGAGTAATAATTTGGAATAAATTCAACACATTTCACCTGAAACCTGGTAAATGATGTTTAATAATAAAGATTTTAATTAATTTACATTTCACTAAAGCAACACAACAAACTTAGTATTATAAAAGGTTATGGTAATAAGTTAGCTGTTAGCTTAGTATGATCAGATACTTCCCTCTCATAGTTAACTGTATGAACAGGCCTCATAGTAACTGTGAATGTGTAGTGAGTAGTGAGTGTGCAGACAGAAATAAATCTCATCCTACAGATTTGATCTGTGCAGCCTCTTAAACTTGTTTTCTTATCTTGATTAAGTGAATCTCTGGTTTGAACCTGGTTAGTTAGTTAGTGAGAAGCTCATGTTCAGTCCTTTATCTTATATCAGCATCATTTCAGTCTCACTGCTGAGATAAAAACTGGTGTTACTGGATAGTTGGGACGTATTAACACGCCTTCACTGACTGATACACTTTGAAAACTTCTTAATTTTTCCACAAAACTCAACAAGCCAGGACAGATTTGTGAGCATGAGTCAGTGAGTCAGGAGCAAAACCTGCCAACCAGACAGGAAGTGAACACATTAAGACTCTGCTGAATAAAGTTAAAGACAGTTTGGACAAACTTTGGTGAAGACAACTCCTGAATAATATGTCAGATAACGTGTGGTGGTGTTTGATTGTTTCAGAGAGCAGGTTCAACAAACTCTGAGTTCAGCTCATGTGCTGTGAATGAAAAAATCTGTCATTGGTGGAGCTCCGATACGAGTCACCATGGCAACGGTTTAATAAAAGGCAGAGCCTCCATTTTAATCTGGTGGACGCAGAGATATTAGTGCATGTATATTCAGACTGTGCATGTTTATCTAAAAAAAAAAGAATCTGAGTCAGAGCGGGAAAAGTGTCAGTAAATGAACATAATAAAGTTTTATTCAGTGTTATGTGTTACATCATCACAGCAAACATCACATTTTAAATATAATATTACAGCTTTAATCTGACAGAGACAAAACACAGGGGCCAGAAACTGAAGATGGAAGATCCAGTCGTAGATTTAGAGTATATAGTTATATCAGAGATGTGACTGTGACTGATACTATTTAGCTGTAAAAGAAATGAATAAAGTCAGATAAACAAACTAAAAACTTTCCTGTGAGATAAAAGAGATTTTTTACTTTGAGGACAAAACCTGCTGTTAGAAAAAGGTGACAGATAAAGATATGTGTTATTTTAATAATCAGCAGAAGCAGATGGCATCACATGTAAAATCGTAATACTAACACTGAACCGTGACATCAGTATGGTGATAATATGTTACCATGGAGCCTCAGGTGATTCCCACCTGTCGTGTTTGACGTGATGTGTGTTTCCTGTGCAGAAAGGAAACACTGCTCTTCATTACGTCTGTCAGAGGAAGAGTCATCGTCTGGTTCCTCTGCTGCTGGAGAAAAACGCTGACACCAACATCCAAAATAACGTACGTACACAAACGCACCACGAAACCAATCAGGGTCCTGATGAGACGTCTGACGCTCTGCTGCTGCTTCTTCTTCTTCATCTTCTTCTGCCTCCTCTTCTTCTTCTTCTTGTTCGACAGGACGGAGAGACACCGCTGGACATCGCCACCAGGCTGAGGTTCAAGAAGATTGTCAACATGCTGAGGAAGACACAGTGACAGACAGACAGACAGACAGACAGACCGACAGACAGGAGGACATTTAGTCTGTAACTGAGTCTCAGTGTTGTGTGAAAAAAATCTTTCATTGCAGGAAGAAAAAATTTTGACTTGTCTCAACCGTTTATTTACCAAATATGAATAAATCTATAAATCAGTAACTGATAATTCAGAGTTCGATCCTTAAGCAGGAAATGTCAGACTGCTCTTCTGATGGAAAAACACACTTTTATTTTGACAGTCCTAAATTACCAAAAACAAAGAACTGAAGTTTGGAGTTCAGCTACCTGAGTTAAGAAGAAGGAAGTTCTTCTTTAACTGAAGCTGATGGAAAATATTTACCTGCTCCAAAGTTAGGGACTGTTCTTTACTTACGAGGGAGGTGCAGAAAGGCAAACAACTGTAAATGGCTGCAGTTTGCCTTCCAAAACATGTTTGAAAGGCATGTTTCCTTTAAAAAAAATCTGACATTTTTTTTTGGCAATTAAAAAAAAAGGGCGCTTTTTTTTTTAGGTAAACATGCCTTTCAAGTCCGCCTCAGGTTGGCAAGACATGTTTTCTTTAAAAAACATGTTTAATTTTTTTTCTTTTAACTTTATTTTGCATCTTTTGTTTGTTTGTTTATGTTGTGTTGTTTTGTTTATTTTTGGCAATTTTATTTCTTGAAAAGTTTTGGATTTTTTTTGTTTGTTTTGTTTTAAAGAAAAACATGCCTTCCAAACCCACCTCAACCCAACCCAATTTTTTGTTGTTGGAATTGTTTTTGTTTGTTCTTTTTATTATTATTTTGTATTTTTTAAGCACTTGGGGAGGGACATATGTTTTTTATTTTGGCTCAGAGGAGTGGCATACAGATTTAAATGTCTGTAGTTTGTATTTATTTCACTGCTGATTTTTACAGAAAACATGCTGTTGTGCGGTTTGCAGGCATGTTTTCTCTAAAAATCACCAAAATTACACCATGAATCACAACCAGAAACTGTACAAACAGAAATTATTGTTGGATTTTCAAATTTCTGACGGTCCTGGGACACATCATGTGTGATGAACGCTTCCGTCAGAAAAAAAGAACATATCTTAAAACAGGGTTAGTGATATTTCATCAGAATCACTTTATTGTATGTCTCATTTGAAATTCGTCTAAAAATAAAGTGTTTGAATGACGAGTGAAAAACTGAGAGTTTTTCAACTTTAAACTTTCAAACATTAAAAATCTATAAAATCATTTATGGTGGAGGGAGGGTCAAAATAAAAACAGCCACCCCTCCTCTGATAAATACAGAACAGTACCTAATCTTTTTTTTTTTTTTTTTGTGAAACCAGGATGAAATATTCTGATTGATTTATTCACTCGCTGTAAGAAAGTAAAGCTTTTCAGACTCAGTTAAAAACAGACAGAACTTAAGCAGATGGAGATTTTTGTAAAGGTGTCATCAGTTTATTGTTACAGGACGTTTTTAATGTGATCAGATGTTTCTGATGTTTTTTTTGTTTTTTTTTCATTTCATTTAAAGTGAATTCTGACTGTTATTGAATCCATCTGTCTCTCTGGTTTTGTTAAACTGTTCATGGTCAAACATCAACAGTGAGCTAACTCTGTTAGCCTAGCTTAGCACAAAGACTGGAATAACAATAAAATATCCTCATTTCTTCTTTCAGATAAATCAGACACAAATAACTAAATAAAAGCAGTAAAACTGTCAGAAGAAAAGATGAGTAGAAACAGTCTGTAGATAAAAGTGTAACATACAGATCATGTTATACATTTCAAATTCTACTTTTCTGTATTTCAAAATAAACGTGGTTATTAATGAAACGTAAACACTGTCGTTGTTTCTCAGATTTATTAGACAGTTTCATCAAAAACTGGTTCATAATTAGCAAAAATACAACAGATTAAGATATGTTGCTGAAATTATTTTAAAGCCATCATCTAAATAAAAGTTTAGCCCCGCCCACGACAATTCAAACCACATGATTGGATATTGCGTCCCCCCCCAACATTGATTGACAGGTCCTTTAACTAATACTTAACACGTATTTAAAATGTTAGAAATGTTTTGAGATGCTAACATGCTAACATCAACATGAGCTGAGGTTGGATGCTAACGTTAGCACCTTGTTGTATTATTTTAACCACGCTTTGAGCTGCAGTTCCTCTGATGTCCACCACATGGTGCTGTGATCAAACTCTGTTGAATGAGAAAACCTCTGACGTCTCTCTACAAAAACAAAGTTCAGCTTTCAGCAGATTCACTGAGCTTCTTCACACATCTGTCTGACAGGATTTTCACAATAAAAGTTCAGTTAATTACAAACTGAAGAAAAAAAATCATACACAGGTTTGTTTGGTTAGCATTAAAAAAACACGTCGGACATAGAAACAAATACACAGGTTTTTATACAGAGTAAAACACAAAATAAAACACAGATATAAACACACGTGACTATGTTCCAGCTGGTCACATGACGGATTAATGAAAAATTAAACAGTTTTGACTTGTTGAAATAAAATCTGACATAAAATCAATAAACAGCTTCAGGATGTTGTTTTTAGGTGTGTTCATGAGCAGCAGGTCACAGGACGGACTGTTTCAACAGATGAACTCCTCAAACACACCAACTGCTATCATGCTAACAATGATAATGCTAACAGTGATAACGCTAACAGAAATAATGATAACTTGCAGATGGATAGCATGCTAACATTAGCTAATAAGCAGTAAACACAAAGTACAGCTGAGACTGACGGGATGTCTTCAGTGTTCAGTGGTGGAAAGTACTTTTACTCAGATACTGTAGTTCAGCAGTACTTGTACTTTATTTGAGTATTTACGCTTCACGCTACTTTATACTTCTACTCCACATTTCAGAGGGAAATATTAGACTTTCACCGCATTAGTTTGCCTGATAGTTACATTTATATTAAAAAAAACTGATATGATGCAGAACTATAATAAAAATCCACCTACTGGTAGATAAAATATCTAACTGTCTCCACGTTGATGAAGTACAAGTTAAAATGTGGTGATTGGTGAAAAACTAATAAAATATCATAATCTATAATAAAGGAAACATTCTAGACAGTAAGTATTTTTATGTGTTATACTTAATGGGCATTTTGCTTCAGCATCAGTGTCAACAATATTCAGGCCAGTAAAGCTTATTTGAGTTTAAAACAGATCACATTTTTACTTTTAGTTTGAAATTTGAGTAAAAACAGTAAAAACAGTGTGATGTGGCTGGAAGGTGTGTACGAGGTGTTTGAATCCACACACACACACACACACATACACACACACAGAGTCCACAGTCCTCATTAAAACCTGGAGAACACCTGCTCGTGTACAGTACTGTGATCCTCAGACTGTGGTCCCCTCACTGTAGCACAGACGTGTACATCATCACAGTGTCAGCATAGCGCCCTCTACTGGTGTTCCTGCATCAGCTTCAGGATGAAGGGAAACATCTGCTCAGGAGCGTCCAGACCCCAAATAAAATCCAGATGATCCCAGTGTTCGATGTGCCGATGGAAGACCAGGTTAGACACCTGACAACAGATGGACAGACAGACAGGTACGTTAATCACTTAATTACTGATGTCCTAAATTTTTAGAAGTTATAGTTCTGATAGTGAAAGGTTTGTTAAAAGGTCTTTGTCATTAAATTTGGGTGTGAATTAGAAAACTTGGATTTTATCAGATGAAGTTTTGAGGACTGAGATGTAAATAATGTGATTAACAGTGTTCAGGCTGTGTGTTCCTCTCACTGCAGTATTTACAGATGATTTACAGAGACGTGAAATCAGCAGACTTGTTGATTTCTGTCGTTATTTTCAGCTGTTACACTCGATGATGTCACTGATGTACGCCAGGTACTGCTGTGATCTCATAGGATCAGAGGACTCACCTGCGTGAGGAGGATGGCTATATCTTTGGGGTCCGCCAGCGTATCCTGTCCCCCCGAAAACAGAGCGGTGGGAACCTTCATGTCCAGGACGTTGTACTCAGGGGGTGTGGACTGAGGACGGGACACGTGGACAGGAAGGACACAGAGACATCAGGAAGTAAGATCAGTGTTTATGTAGTTAAGTCAACCCACAGCATCTGAACTTCATCTCTACAAACTGATTCAGTCTCAGGTCGTGCAGGTGGAGTCTCACCTGGTTGTAGTGTTTCATGTTTCCTGTATATCCAAAGTCAAAAGCCATCAGCTTCCCTGTGTGAACAGCCTGGAAACAACAATCAGACATTTAGAGTCCTGGGAATGGAGGATTGCATCAAGGGTCCCCACAGGTACAGACAGACAGAAGTGTGTGTGTGAGTGAGTGTGTGTGTGTGTGTGTGTGTGTTACCTGGGACCAGTGGATCATGTTCTGGACTGAGGTCCCAGCAGGACAGTGTTCAGTGTAGACCGGAGTCCGAGTCTGGAAACAAACGACTCAGTCAGAGGAAACACTGAAGACACTCCTCAAACGTCCCCTCCCCCCTCCTAAATAACTAACAGTCCTTAACAGTCAAATGTCACGCCGTCTGACGGCACTCAGTACAAACCATGTTGAGGTTTTCTTGGTCGAAGCCACACAGGACGAAGAACAGGTTCCCACACAACTTGTTGAGCAGCTGCTTCGCACACACGTGTTCTGAAAACCACTCGATCATGTGACTCTGAGGCAGGAAGTCCTGCCTACCAAACACTTCCTGCGGGAGATCAGTCAATCAATTAATCAATCATCAATCTGTCAATCAATCAGCCACACTCGTGTTATGTGATTATAACTCGTTAGCAGGTCATGTGATCGCGGCTCGTTAGCGGACTTGTTACCCAGATGAGGAACTCTGGCAGGAAGGTCAGTTTGGTCATGGCGCTCTTGGTGAAGGAGGCAGTTGCTACGGGAGCCAAACCGAAGAACATCTTGATCTTACTGGCCAGTTCTGGCAGCGTGGAGAACGCTATGAATGCTGGGAAAAAAGGGACAGAGAGACGTGTCAGAGTGATGTCATCACAGACTCAAGCTGTTAATGAATTACTGATCCTGATGGTTTGATGATGTCCTGATGAACTTCAGCTGGGTTAAACTCTGATTTATTAAATACAGCCAACATGAAGAGAGTGTGTGTGTGTGTGTGTGTGTTACCTATAGTCGTCCCTTGAGAGTGTCCGACGTA